ACCTTTACTTATTTAGTTGGAAATAATTTACATTTTCAGTTTTTTTTTGAGTTTTTTCCTTTCAATTCTTTTCTCCTTTATTCCCTTCCTTGTCTCCTTGGTCTTAATACCCTCTCTCCTCCTCTTCTATTCCTCTGCCCCTTGACCCGCCAGAGATGCATTACAGGGGCATCTTTATGCTCTAAAATGCATTTTTGGTCTCATTCAGATTTGCGGCGTCGGGGCTTCAGAGCTGCATTCCTGTAGAGTTTGTAGATATCTGAAGACATATCGGATGTAGAGAATCTTCATTCCTGCAACCACTGTGCATCGTAGCCTTCAGGGTAAGGGGGGTGGGGGATGCTGTCTAAGAGAGAGTCATGCGGTACCAGCTTGTCCCTCACCATGACAAGGACGCCCTTGTGAGACTCCGACTCGAGTTCCAGCCCCGATACCCTCCAGGTTGATTCGTGCTTCCAGTGAGTTTCTTGCATGGTGGCAGCTGTAACATGGTTTCATTCCAGACTCCGGAGTGTGTAGCAGCAAAATCAGCCCGTCAAACATGGCAAGTCTCAATCTGCCTGCTTTCGACAGCACAAAGAAATTCTTGGCGACGATCTTCCCCGCACCGCATCCACTTGCTCCTGTGATTTGTGGTTGCACTCTGTGCCTGCGCTTGAAAAGCTTGTAGAGACCGAGCTCTGTGCCACGTACCTCCATGTTCGCCCTCGAAGCGCTGCCCTGCCACATGCGCGTTTAAACTTAAACGCACGCTTGCGAACAGCTCCAAGGTAGGGGCCAGACAAAATCCAAATGCCTTTGGAACGCTTGGGGGTGCGGAAGCATGCAAGTTGAAATTCGCCTTTACTTTGCCAGTCTGCATTCCGGTGTCGCATCGTGCATTTGCTTGGAGGATTGAAGTTCAGGAGCGGCAAAACTAAAATCACCTTCGATGCGGTCTGTATGCCTGTTGAACATTCCGAATCACGGAGTGGTAGTCATCCCATGAGGGTGGCAGAGGAAGCAAAGCATGGACTACACGATGCCATCATGTCTTCGAGGTTCTGGCTCCCAACAACCCATGATCCGCCGGACCCTGAGCTCCCTAAACCCTAAACCCTAAGCCCCAAAGGCTGGACTAGCCGAAGTGTCTGGTGTCTTGTCGAGCATGCCCGCAGCAATCTCCGAAGTTCCTGCCCAAATCTTGAGCATGTCGGGCGCCAGCCACGTCGAGAGACACACGGATCCGTGCAACTCACTGCGGAAACGTAGGATGGGCTTGTGGCATGCAGTGTTCGTTCTCTGCGCGGCTGCAGTTGTTTGGCTGCCGCGGTTGTCGGAAGAGTGTGCGTGCACATGCTCTGTGCTCCGGATCTTAAGATTGTCGGCCGCAGCTGCGCAGAAGAGCACTCGAACTAGACAAGTTTCCCCGCGTGCTCGCTCTGCTCGCATGTCCATGGCAAACGGCCATGGTGGATCCCTAGCTCCCAGTCTACAGAACCACTTCCCGGACCCACACCCTCAGATGACACCCCCCTAAGAGAGTCGCCAAGGTTGGAGCGGAGCCTCTGCACAGAACCACGGCGGAGGTTTCCAAGAAGCTGGGATTGATGGAGAGCGTTCGCCACGTTTGTCAGGCGGTCCAGATTCCCCTGCCCGGAGTGGTCGTCGTTGGCGAACAGTCTGCTGGCAAGTCATCACTGTTGGAAAACATATCCGGAATTCAGTTTCCGCGCGCCCAGAACACGTGCACACGCATGCCGTGTATCTTGACGATGCTAACAGACCCAACCGTCAACGAGTCCTTTGCCCTTGTGTCGATGGATTCGAGCTTTACCGATGCAGCTTGCAGAACACTAAGCAGAACGTTTGAGATTGTACGGTATGTACGGTCTTCCCTTTTGTCTGGACTTTCTGACGTTTTCCAGACTTGGAACGAAATCTTTCTTGGTCTCCCTGTTCCTTCGCAAGTTTCCCTGTGGTCTCAGGCGAAGAGATGTGCTGTGGCGGACGTGGAGGGGCAGATCAAGGAGCTGACGGATCAGCACGCCACGGGCGCGGCCTTCATCTCCAGACAGGTCCTGCGCCCAGAGTCATGTCCCCTAAACCCTAAACCCTAAACCCTAAACCCTAAGCCCTAAACCCTAAACCCTAAATCCTAAGCCCTAAGCCCTAAACCCTAAACCCTAAACCCTAAACCCCTAAACCCCCGAGTGCTGCGCCTCGACCTTTCTATTCCCCCGCTCCCGCCCTCACCAGCCTACGACTCCTAAGCTTTAAGGGTTTAGGGTTTAGGGTTTAAGGGTTTAGGGTTTAGGGCCCTGAGCTCGACTCTGAGCCGTGATGGGCTCTCAAGAGCCTTCATATCCGAACTGCGTAGAGGCCTAGCCCGAAAAGCGTTTTTGGAGCCGGACAACTCCGTTTCTAGATGTTTCTCAAGAAGCCAGGAGTCAGGCTGCGGGTTGCTTTAGGGTTTAGGGTTTAGGGTTTAGGGTTTAGGGTTTAGGGTTTAGGGTTCTAAACCCAAAGGATCCTCTCTCTGGAACCCCCTCCTGTGCACAAGCCCCGAAACACTCGGCACACACGCGCTCAAAAGTTGCGAAGCATTCGAGCGCATTGCCAGTGAGCCCAGGCCCTGGATGCCCTGAGCCTGAAGTTGAGACGGTACATATAAGGCAACTAACTATATATACAACTATACCTACAATCCTGCATATATATATATATTTATATATATATATATACAATATATCTTAAGAGTCTTTCTGCCAGGCCCTCTACATACGAGTCGTTCGGCGAGATGGTCCGCAGCTGTCCTTGATCGGCGTGACACACAACGCCGAGAAGATGTCCAACATTCACGAGGTGGGGCGGGGTTTGAGCTTAGCAGCTCGGATTTTCTACTGGGCCGGGTTCATGGCCCGGGTTCATTCGGGCTGGATGCAAAGCTTGAGGCAAAGCTTCGCGCTTGGTTTTTTGATGGCCTCAGGCGAGACGGCCATAAATTTTCAGGAGGGACGGCCAAAAGCCCACCTTCCTTGCAGGTCACCGTGAGCCTCGTGAAGGAGTACATCGAGCCGGAGGAGATGGTGATCTTGTGCGTGATCCCGGCTATGTCCGATTTTGGCAACGCGGAGGCGCGGAGTGTGTTCAGGGATCTCTGCTTCGAGGACTCGTGAATTCGAATGACATGTATGGCATTGTCATTTTTTTCGGGGTGTTTTGCGCCAACCCCTTCCCTTCAGCGTTCCGACGCAGGTGGTAAAGTTGGCCCGTGAGTACGACCCGGAGGGCATCCGGACGCTCGGTGTTGTCACGAAGTGCGACGACGCAGCGAACGCTGAAGCATCTGACATTGTGGAGAAGGAGGGGCGTCTGACAAGTTAGAGCCTTGAGGATGGTGGTAGTCTGCATAGGAACACCGAAGTCGTACGGTCGTGCTGTAAGTCTGTGCAGCTGATGTTCGGAAGGTCACAATGTCAAGAGACTCCGACGTGCGCCTGGCGTTCGGCTTCCACTGCGTAGTCAACCGGTCTCAGAAGAACATCGACGAAGGCATGAGCCGCGAGGATCTGTGGCAGAAGGAAGAGAAGATCTTCACGACTTCGGACCGCCTAAGAAAGCTCCCAGCAAGCAACTGGGGCACCCTGCGTCTCATGGAGAAGGTGGCGAAGATCCAGGAGGGAGTTTCCGAAAATAGGGGTACCTTTTTTCTTGGGTCCTTATAATAAGGATCCTGTGGTAGGGTCCCCTATTTTTGGACACCCC